ACACGTACACACATGTACACACACACACGTACACACACGTACACACATGTACACACATGTACACACACGTACACACATGTACACACATGTACACACACGTACACGCACGCACTACGGATAAGCGCTGACGCAGTGCCGTGCTTCCCGCGGCGCTACTGCCCCCTGGCGGCCAGCGGAGGCGCAGCCGCTCTCGCACCAGAGACAGAGAGACGGCCGCTAGGGGGCGCTGCCGCCGGCGGTTCCTCGGGGAAGGTGCTGCGCTGCTCAGCTCGGCGCGGTGCGGCGCTGCCGCAAGGAGTCAGGCCGTTGAAAAGCTTTGCGGTGGTGTTTGAAACAAAGAAGCAGCGCTCACTGACACGGCCGAGTGTGACTTCGGGCTTTTGCTGCGTGTTTACATTTCATTCCTCCCTGTGATCGTAAAGAAAACGAGGCCGCGCTTGAGAGAAACGGGAGGGAGCAGAACGCGGAGCTGCGGATCATCGCCAGCCACCGAGAGCACAGCCAGAGCTGCCGCCATCTGTGCGTGCCCAGCGGGGCTGGCGGTGTCCCAGTAGGGACGGCGATGTCCCAATGGGGATGGCGATGTCCCAGTAGGGACGGCGATGTCCCAATGGGGATGGCGATGTCCCAGCGAAGCTGGCCGCATCCCTCATGCCGGATCCCGCCGACACAAGGGGTCACACGCGAGCCGTGCTCCACTCCTGAGCTCTGGGTTCAACAGCAAATGCATCCCCAGCAGCTTTGCCATGAGGGAAATGGATGAGTAACCGACCCCAGCTGTTACACGCGCCCTGGCTGCAGCCCATCCTAAGGGAATCTTCACTTCTTTTCCAGGGGGAGCTGCTAGGATTGATGTTTTGTTCCTGGCTGGAATAGTGTTGCACAGCTCGGTGAGGGGGGGAGCCTCCCAAAGCTGCAGCCCAAGAAGTGTGTGGGCAGAGGATACCCTTTATTTTCCCTCTGCTTGCTCGTTTTTATCACGCACAGTTTGTTTTGGGGTACTTGAACTGTTGCAAAGTTCCTGAAGGCAGCACAGGTGATGTGACACAGAATGTGTTGATGTGGAGCGCCTGCAGCAACAGGCAGAGCTGCAGGGCCAGGAGGAGGAGGAGGAGGAGGAGGAGGAGGAGGAGGAGGAGGACTGCAGCAGGACTGCAGGAGGCAGCATGCGAGGTATAGAAAATGTGATGTGAAAAAAGATGAAGGAATTGAGTTTAAGTCTAGGGGAGAATAAAGAAAGGGGAGGAGTGACTGTCTGCACACATGTGAAACCTTGCTCTAAGGGCTCTTCTCTGAGCAGGCTGCAGACAGGACAGGGAGTAACAGGCTTAAATTATAGCAAAGATGATGAATACAGCTTAAATAGCAGAAAAAAAACAAGTTTAGGAAGACAGAGGGTGAAATACAGAAATCAACTGCCTGGGAGGATTGTGAAATCCCTGTTGTTAGAGGCTGTTTGGAACAGGTTGGACAAGCCCATCAGGAGTGACAGGCAGAGTTCATCCCGCCTGCAGGCAGAGGATGGGATAAAAATATCTGAGTCCCTTCAAGCTTTATTTTCAGTGATGTAGCAGAAGGCTGATTAAGCTGCTCAGCAACACCATCAGCTTCGAGACAAAGGGCATTTTTGTTCAGTCAAATATTCATGGGTGCAGGCATGCATTTAATAAAAAATCTGTATTCCCTTCCTAAACTCATCTTTAGCTTCCTGGGTGTATGCTTTTTAATTTCAGAGGATGGCTGAGCCCCCCGAGCAATAGCATTCAGTCCTTTCCTGTGTGCCATGCTACTGAGTTGTGGCTGCTTGAAGCCCAATGTACCACAGATTCTCTAAGTTCACTGGGCAGTGTGGGTTGGGTTTCATCACTGGTGTTAATCACTGGTGAAGTCGCTCACTAATTACCAGTGCTCTCCCTCCAAGCAGCCATGGGCTGGGCTGGGCATCCTGTCAGGGATGAGGCTCAGTTGGTGGCTGGCAGTGCCAAGGGAGCTGCGTGCTGTGCCCATCACTGCCTGCACACCAAACCTCTGCATCACACCTGGGCTGAACAGGACACAGAGAGCAAGAAGAGTTCTGCACAGCTGAGGCCACTGATTCAGCAGGTCCCTGCTAATGGCTTTTCACATACATGAAAGCGTGAGGGAGATTTTTCAAAGGCACCTAAAGGATTTGGGAGCACAAAGCCACTGCCAGCATGGCTCATGCTGCTAAGCAACAAAGGCGTCTGCATATATCCTTCTGAGAGCACCCAGCCTCGTTAGAGGCAATGATGTAACTTCTGTTATAAAACTGGTGTTGGCTGCACTGCCAGCTTTTTACAAGAGGGTTCTGGATCCCCAACTCCTCAGTAATAACCAGCACCCTGGTTGTACAGACATGGCTGCTGCCTGTGCTGCACGCCATACAGGCTCACCTGCTGTGACACAAACCATCACTCAGTTCAGCACCAAAACACCATTTTGCTGCTTCATACTACGAAAATCAGAATTCAGAAAATTCCTACTTTTGGGTTGTGTAGTGGAAATGCTGAGTCACAGCTTGAAGCAGTGATGGAGCTCCTGGTGGGAAGGCAGGGCCAACCGAGGGGAGCTCAGGTGCATGCAATGAACCTGACTGACTGGAAGGGATGGAGCCAGGATCCTCCCCTTCCCAGCCCTCATTTAAGGGTTGGTATGGAAGTGAGAGCATCTCATCTGGAGATCCTTGTGTACCTGGGGCCCCCCTGAAGGTAAGCAGCTTTTTTCCTTTATTTCTGCACACACAGCTTCTGTGTTTGAGCCTATGTTCACTTGTTGCAGCTTAGGGCTTTGTTATTCTGCTGTCATTGCTGTGCTTTCTATCACATTACAGCGTTATGGGCTGCTTTGCATGGAGGTAGTGAGGCCAGCATACTGCATTAGTCCAGAGTATGCACAGCATGAATGTTTTAAGGGGCTTCGCTTGATCTTGATGCTGAATTTTTGATGTGTGGCTGACGCTGAGTAACCTGGGAGTATTTGGCCCTGGGTGTGGAGCTGCTGCTGCACCACAGGCACTGCAATTGGGCTGCACCCGTCCTAATGAATTAAAAGCATCCAAATGCTTGCAAGTAGCCACGAGTGAACATTACAGGTACTTCATGTGCATTCCCTTTTCAGACCATGACAGCACTCAGTGAATTCAGTCAGAGACATTCTGAAAAGGGAAAGCAAACTTTTCTTCTAGTAAGAAAAGAATGACAGCAAACAGCCTCTGGCTGATAAGAACAACTGTCCATGCCACGAAACAATCAACTTGCTTAACTTCCCAGGAAATGCACGGAGCAGGCAGCATCTGGCTGCTCTTCCTGGTCATTCTTCTGCTAACTATTTTTAATCTTATGACACCTATTGACAGCAAAAGCAATTAACAGGCAGAGGCTAACATCCTGCATGCCCTTAAAAAATAGCAAAGCATGGAGAAAGGACTTAATCAAACACGTGATGTGAACGTGACAGCCTTGGCCTCCCAAGAAATCATGTGGCTAAATAAAGAATTGTGTAGGTGACTCAGAGGAAGGGTCCTGGGTGCAATTTAAGCAAAAGGTTTAAGAGAAAAGCCTCTCCGGGGAGCTTAGTGCCTTCTGCTCCAGTTGTTCGTTATTCTCCTGCCCCATGTATCTCAGTAAGGAGCAGCCCAGCAATGCTATTACACCTGTGTGATTTACAAATCAAATATCATAATGTAGTTCTGTTCCTAGCTGTGAGAGTTGTGCAGGAAACCAGGAACACACCAGGTATGCACAGCAGTCAGGCGCTGCTCCCCACTGATGTGCTGCAGTGGGGGCTTCTCTGGAAAGACCCACAAACACCAACGCTTCTATCACTGCTGTTTCGGCGCAGTGTACTTGTTGCAGATCCTAAACCCTGGAGGCATGGAAGTAGAGGAGCTGTTAAGACATTTTTAAAGACGTTTGCTTCCAGAAGAAGAAACTGCTGTTACTGCAGGAAGCGTTAATAGAAAGAGCACCATTGCTACTGCTGGGAGCCCACGGGAGGGGTGGGGACTGGGACACAGAGGCTGATTGACACAACGCTGGTTTGTAGGCAACTGTATTTTTAGTTCAGCTTGTCTGTGATTTATCCTTATAGGTGTAGCACTGCATAAGAAGAAGGTTATGTTCCAGGGTAGCTTACTTGCACGAAGCCCCTGTGACTGAGAAAGTTAATCTAGAACAGCAAAGCTGAAGTAGTAAGGTCCCAACGTGGATCAAAACATGAAAATGAAGTCTTTTGCTGCCCTGACATCCAATGGGATCCTCTGGATTGTAATCCTACTGTTCTCAGTTGTAAGAGCTGAGTGAGGAAAAACCTCTGTGAAGGGGTCAGTACATTGCAGCCCTGATCTCCTGTGCAAGGACTGGCAACAGCCTCAGCCCCTGCTGTGCCTGCACAAATGGTGGGGGCAAGAAATACAAGAACACAAGGGTTTCCAAATTGCACAAAATATTTATTGTTAGTTTAGTACATTCAATATCATATCGACTAGATTACAGTAATTCAAAATATTTTTGGCGAATTGAAATCTTTAAAAACCATTTCAAACACTCCAAAAAGCAATGCCATGAAAAATTAAATCAAACGTATTCAAGCCATAGTTTCACTTTAGACTACAGGAAACCTTTACGTGCGTTTTAGTGGTTTTAACAGTACTGCGTTTAAACAAAAGGTTTGAAATCACCAAGTGGAAAAATCCTGAAGTAG